CAAAGAGACTTTTCCTTAAATTTAAGAAAGCAGGAAATGCAACCCTTTACATTTAGAATAATAAACATCCTACCCAAAAAACCCACTGCCGTCAAGTCAATGCCAACTCATAGTGACCCTTTAGGACAGAGTAGAACTTGCCCCATAGAGTTTCCAAGGAGCACCCCGTGGATTTGAACTGCCGACCTTTGGATTAGCAGCCGTAGCACTTAACCACTACACCACCAGGGTTTCTAATATCCTACAGTAAGTGTCAAAAGTTAGCATGCTCTCCCAGTTCTGCCCACTGCCAAAACAGTCATTCAGTAGTAAGCTGTTTCTATTTTCTTGATTGCAAAAGGAGGCCAGTTTATGTGTTTTTTGGGAAAATATTCTGGAAATCCAAAATAATTAATGTTTTGCTGTAAAAACAACAACCAAAAAAAAAAAAAAAAGATGCCATGAATCTTGACAAAAAGGAGTCAATATATTTTTACCTCATAAGTATTTCACTTATAGCATTAATATTTTAGTAGATCCATAATGCAATCTTGAGCAATGGAAACAGTCAGAATCATTTACAGATGGCCTTCTCAGAATTCCCTTTCATTCTCTTTCAGTATATCTCACAAATTAACAGTTTTCCCTTGAAGGCACTTCTGGAAACAATTAAGATACAAACAAACAAACAAAAACAAGTGTGCTTTCTATGTGGAAGGCATTCTAACTCTGGCATTTCCATTTCCACATTAAAATCTGCTCTAGGAAAGTTTACACGAACGCATATGGGGAAAGCATGGCTGCGTCTGAATGAAATATTAGGTGCTCCTGCCTAAATGCCTCGTCAGCAGGCTGCCTGCAGTCCACTGTGCTGTTTTATCAGAGGAAGTTTTCCAGCAAGATGGTTTACGTGCATGTTATATAGGGAGTGAACCCTCAGTGAAGTCCCCGTTTGTGACCTGACAGGGGTCAAAGGGTCAGACCCGACCAACAACCATCTTCTGCAAGGCTGGGACCAAGTGCTTCTTTAACAGAAAGAGGAGTCCTCAACATCCCCTCTTCCATTTGGGGTGAGAGGATTGATAAAGGAGTTTCTGAAGGAATGAGCACTGTTATGGATTAAATTGTGTCCCCCAAAAATGTGTGTCAACTTGACTAGGCCATGATTCCCACTGTTGTGTGGTTGTCCACCATTTTGCGATGTGACATGAAAACGTGACGTGTGTTATAAATCCTACCTCTATGATGTTAATGAGGCAGGATTAGAAGCAGTTATGCTAATGAGGCAGGACTCAAACTACAGGATTAGGCTGTATCTTGAAGCAATCTCTTTTGAGATATAAAAGAGAGAATCCAGCAGAGAGGAGAGGGAGTTCATATCATCAAGAAAGAAGCACAGGGAGCAGAGCGCATCCTTTGGACCTTGGGTCCCTGTGTTGAGAAGCTCCTAGACAAAGGGAAGAATGATGATAAGGACCTTCCCCCAGAACCAACAGAGAGAGAAAGCTCTCCCCTGGGGCTGGTGCCTGAATTTGGACTTCTAGCCTCCTAGACTATGAGAGAATAAATTTCTGTTTGTTAAAGCCATCCACCGAGCCCTGGTGGCACAGTGGTTAAGTGTTCAGCTGCTAATCAAGAGGTCAGCAGTTCAAATCCACCAGCTGCTCCTTGGGAAATCCATTGGGCAGTTCTATTCTGTCCTATAGGGTCGTTATGAGTCAGAATCGACTCGACAGTAACGGGTTTGGTTTTTTTTTTTTTTTTAAAGCCATCCACTTGTATTTTTGTTATAGTAGCACTAGAAAACTAAGATATGCACTTTGAATATTTCTCTTCAAATCTCTTCAAAACACATCTCCACCATGTCTGACTAGGATTAGAGGAAGACTCATTAATAACCTGCGTTATGCAGATGAGACAACCTTGCTTGCTGAAAGTGAAGAGGACTTGAAGCACTTACTGATGAAGATCAAAGACCACAGCCTTCAGTAGGGATTACACCTCAACATAAAGACAACAGAAATCCTCACAACTGGACCGATAAGCAATATCATCATAAACGGAGAAAAGATTGATGTTGTCAAGGATTTCATTTTACTTGGATCCACAATCAACACCCAAAGCAGCAGTCAAGAAATCAAAAGACGCATTGCATTGGGCAAATCTGCTGCAAAAGACTTCTTTAAAGCATTGAAAAGCAAAGATGTCACCTTGAAGACTAAGGTGCGCCTGACCCAAGCCATGGTATTTTCAATTGCATCATATGCATGCAAAAGCTGGACGATGAATAAGGAAGACTGAAGAAGAACTGACATCTTTAAATTGTGGTGTTGGTGAAGAATAGTGAAAATACCATGGACCACCAAAAGAACAAACAAATCTGGCTTGGAAGATATACAACCAGAATGCTCCTTAGAAGGAAGGATGGTGAGACTACATCTTACATACTTTGGACATGCTGTCAGGAGGCATCAGTCCCTGGAGAAGGACATCATGCTTGGTACAGTACAGGGTCATGGAAAAAGAGGAAGACCCTCAACCAGATAGACTGACACAGTGGCTGCAACACTGGGCTCAAGCATAACAATGATTTTGAGCATGGCGCAGGACTGGACAGTGTTTCATTCTGTGGTGCATAAGGTCGCCATGAGTCGGAACTGACTCGATGGCACCTAACAACAACACAACAACCATGTCTGACAGAGTCTTTCATAGGACTATTCTGGAGTCCCTGGGTGGTGAAATAGTTACTGAAATGTTGGTGGTTGGAATCCACTAGGATGCCCCTTGGAAGAAAGGCCTGGTGATTGATTTCCAAAAAATCAGCCATTGTAAACTCTACGGAGCACAGTTCCACTCTGAAACGCATGGGGTCACCATAAGTCGGAACAGACTCAATGGCAGCTGGTGATGGTTTTCAAACTCACAAGCTGAGAATTCGGCAAGATGACACTTTTATCTTGTCCCTTGGTTTGTCTTTATAATGAGCAGCTATCTATGTCTCCTAATTCAGGGAGAGAGTAGAAGAACAAAATGTTGACAGAGGTTTTCTCAGATTGTTTTTAAAAGGAAAATGGCTTGTAAGTAGAATTTATTCTGGTATCAGTTCCTTTATGAAAAGTATTTCTTACGTAAATGTGGAAGTAACAGCTCCTCAACTGGTTTCCCTTAAAACCACTGTTTTGATTTATAGCCATACAATAATAACTTCCCTTGGTTTGCTTTTATTTTAAAATTCTCACCTATTTTCTCTCTTCTTAATTCTTATTTTTTACTACCAATAATAAAATATCCTGACTCAAGGAAGGATCTAGGAGATACACAAAATGACTATAATAGAATTAGCTCATAATATTATTAAATTTGAGGGTAGCAAGTTGATCCTGAGTTTATTCAAATCTTCCTAACAACCACACAGAAAAAACCAGTTAGCTAAAATGGCTGAGCTGACTCCTGGCTTCTGGCTATAGCCCCAAAAGTTTGATAATAAGCACATTTATTGAGATTTTTTTATATACCAGTTATTCTATTAAAATCTTTGCATGTATTATCTCATTTAATCCTCACAACAATCCTAGGAAGTAAGTTTTAAGATTGTTATTCTTATCCCCATTTCACAGATGAGGAAACTAAGGCATAGAAAGGATGAGTGACTGGCTCAAAATCACTCATCTAGTAAGTTGGGTGTTAGGGGCTGAGCCCCAGACAGTCCAGCTCAAGAGCCACCACATCATCACTGGTACTCTTTACCATGGCTGCTCATAGGCAGGGCTCCTCCTTCTCTAAATCATATGCATTGCCACTGATCCCCAACACAGATTCAAACTCACATCTCTCATCATTTTCACTGCTTCCCTGGTCCTCCCAAGTCTTCTGGCACACATCGCTAGCCTTCTTTTGATGTAGACCAAAACATTGGTGTCTCGTCCTAAAGAGGGAGATATAAAATACCAAAGTTTAATAAGAAAATGTGAGCTTACAGCTGAGCAGCAAGAGCAAATACAGAGGTCAATTTACTGTGCCCTTAAATGAACACCCCAGAGAGAAAAGACTGCTCTCTTGGCCCTTCCTTATTGCGAGGAGCACTGACAACTTTGTTAATAGTTGGACGGCTACAGTGTGAAGTCAAAGTACTTAGAATTGCAAAAGTCAAATCACATGATTGGTGACCTAATCCATGCTTTTGAGTTAGGATGTTGGATATTTGATAAATAAAATCATCTGCCACAAAGTGCTGAGGAACTGAACATTCCCACTTTGCGTCTGGTTTACAAGCAAGAATTCCACATTCTTCGAGTGTGCATGCTTTTGGTAAAGATGCAAAGAGGTGAATCTCAGGTTGCATCCTGATGAACTATTTCTTTTCCTTCTTGACATTAACTCTGGAGAAGCCTCATCTTGAACTTCTGTTTTATATTATTCTTTCCTTAACACTAGTGACATCATAATCATCTCCAGGTCCCCAGAGGAGTCTATTTTACATGGCAATATAACACATTCCAGATATGACAATAGGGTATGCAACAAAATGAAAAACTACCCTAGTGTTACAGAGAGAGCATTGACAAGCTAAATAGTTATAACAACAGTCACCAAAATGGCTCTTAAAAAGTACATTAACAACTTCTTATCTTAATCTTTTATTTAATTATATGTCTTTTTGGATATGTTTCCAGACCAGTGAGAACATGCATGTGCTTAATCCTCAATAAAATTACCATGTTTTAGAAAAATATGACACACCTGTTATAGATTAAGTACATGTATAATATGCAGCTATTAAAAGATGTTAAGACCAAAGTCCTAACATTTCAAGTTTTAAACAATGAAAACAAGATGTGTGCAGAAAATTTGCCAAGTACCTACAAATTATGTTAAAGATACGATTATATTTTTTGGACAGATTTAGGCAACACGTTGAAAGGATTTAATTTTAAGAAGAAAATTCTTAAGCTGTGTAATAGGCTATGTAATTTTATGTATTTTTTTAAAGCATTAATTTTCATTTCATTTATAAAATAGACAGTTACTGCATAGGTTTTCAAAATTCATTGTGCTATACATAATACTTTATTTTTTTTAGAGTGAAGAATAGATGGTGATTAGAGACTTGGTTAACACATATACTGCAAACAAAAATAAAAATCTCTATGTTGACAGGTTGTGTGGATATACTCATGCACATACAAGCTGTAATCCAAAGTCCTATGCCACCTGAGTCACAGGGACTAATGCATTCAGTTTCTATACCAAATCCAAATTTAATACTAAAATTTAATTTTATAATCTCAAATACGAATGAGATACACAACTACTCCAAGTTGCAGGAAACAGCAATGAGGTGAGAGCAATCCCACCTTAAAGAAACAGCCTTATTTTTTGATGCATAGTGAAATCCCAAAAACACATCCCCCCAGCCCACCCAACAAGGAATGCCAAATTTTGTTTAAACAACCAACCAGTTTACTAGTCAAGGGGCTCTGGGAATTCCAGATATGATTTTGTTGTCTTGTTTCTATAATGTTTCCCCAAATATCACTGACTGTATTTAGGGTACTGAAGGGAAAGCTCTCATATTTAAAGAGTTATCTTAAATAAAAGTCATTATTTTTAATATCAAAAAGGAAAATAATTAGGAATTCGTAGCTCTTCCTCTCAGGAAGCCAACATTAACGCTTCTTAAGAGCGAAATGCTGAGACAATCACTAGTAACTGTTACATTCTTAATTGTCCTATTTCAATCTATGCTGTAGAAGACCTATAAGACAAAACCTTTTGGTAGCACTAACACTAATTTAAGTCCTGTTTCCCAACTAGGACTTAAAATTCTGGGACAGAGAAGCAACTGATGACCAGAAATATGTAGGAATTCTGGGAAGAAAAAAAGTTACCATTCAAGGTTATTATCACCTATTTCTGAGGTTAAGAATCTGTAGGCAGAAAAGAGAATCTGAACATAAGCAGTAATGAAACTATAAGTTAACTGCACAACAAGTGCTCTAATAGGACAGAAAAAAAACAAACAAAAAAAAAAACAAATAAAAATGAGAAAGCCAATCTTAGCTCTCATCTAAGAGAATCATATTTGAACTGGCCTGAAAATTTGCTCTCATTAACCATTTCATAATTCTGATCCCCCAATGCATCAGCCTGGGGGAAACCTTACTATGTTGGGCTTCATACTGGGATCCGTGGTGCTGCAGCTGCTGAGAACGCCGGTAACAGCCATCTCCAGCCTTCAGGGCCTGCTTAAAGAGCTTTTCTGCTTCAGCAATGGTTGTTGCTTCCTCTTCAGCCAAGAGAATATAAGCAGTTGCACACCTGTCCATTCAGACAATAGCCACCATCAATTACAAATTCAGGGGCATTGTAATAGAGTGCAAGTAGGAGTGCATGCAGTAGGGCAAGGAGTTACACCAGAACATGCAGAGTGGCCAACGGATTCATGCACCCCCGTGTGTAGTTGTTGACACAAAGTAATGGCACGAAAGAAACATCTGTATTCTAGCTTGAGTGATAGGATGTATAGTGTTAGGAGCATGGGCTCTGGAGTCACATAGGCCTAAGCTCACAATATGCACTCCACCCCTTATTAGATTGGGCAAGTTATTACTCTGCCTCCTTGATGGAGAGCAACATGAGGTCCATTTGTTCCCAGTGCTGTTGTGAAGGCTAAGTAAGGTGATGCATGTGAAGTACTCAGTATGGTAGCAAGCCCGTAGTATATGCTCAATAAATGTCAAATAATGATGGTGATGAAAATAACTGTTATTAAATGTCTCATTCTGACACTCAGAGTTAGAGGTACTATATATAAGTTTACTTCTGTTTACTAAACAGATTCTCTTCAATCTAAAGACTCTTTCAGAGTGAGAAATTCATTAAGTCAAGTAAGTTACTCATTTAAAACAAACAAAACCAAAACCAGTGCTTCCACATCTCATTACCAGTTGCGCTGGATTTTCTATTTCAGAGAAGAACCTACAGCTCAAAAGCTGATCCAGATACACAGCTAATAAAAATTAAATCTCATGCCTTTACCAACAATAGCTATCACTTGTTGCTCAGTATAAACACTGTATCTGGCACTTAACATGTATCATCTCACATAATCCCTTAACAACCCCCTAAGGTAGGAAGCCAGACAGGATACGACGCTAACTAACAAACAAGGGGAGCAACTGGAACTTTAAACCTTCCAAATCACATAATGAACAACCCACTGTCAAAGACAGGGCATGTAACAGGGAAATGGTGAGGCTAGAAGAGACCACATAGGCCCTGATCTGCACTGGGTCCCTTCATTTTCCTTCTTCTCCACTGCCTCTCTTGTGGCCATCTCCCTACTTAATCTGAACCTCCATCAGACCACAAGACAGAAAATAAACAGAAAACAAATCCAAATGTTATTTTTACTATTCATAGACTATAACATCCAGCAGGAAAAGAAGGCTGGACTTACAGCTAATGTGATGTTTGGGGTTGCCAGTTAGTCGTGGAGCCCTGGTGGCACAGTGGTTAAGAGCTTGGCTGCTAACCAAAAGGTTGGCAGTTCAAATCCACCAGCCGCTCCTTGGAAACTCTATGGAACAAGTTCTTCTCTGTCCTATAGGGTCGCTATGAGTTAGAATTGACAGCAATGGGAGAGAGGGAGAGTTAATCTTAGCCTTGAGGAAGGGTCTTGAAAGTTCTTTTGCCAATTCCTCTAATTTCAGGCAGGACTGATCAGTGGGGTTTTAAATTAAATATGGTAAGGTAGGGAGAAAAATGCCCAGGAAAGAAGTTGTAAAATCAATTACCATGGAGGGCAGTAGATACGACTTGGAAAGAACAATAATGATGCTGAAATTGCCCAGTGACTCACCGGAGAAAATAACTGGCATAGGCATCAGAAGAGATTCTTAAGGTTTCAGATGCCGACATATAAATATGGGTCAAGGATAATGAAGTGAAAATTGACATTAAAATACTGAGGGGTAGATACAATATCAGAGGAATAACTATAAGATTGTAATTGGTGGGCTGGGAACTCAAGACTGGTTCGGGCTAGCTTGCTTGCTTTATTTATATTTCAAATGGGTAGTCTTAGGAAGAGAGGCAGAGTAGCACTATTGGCCAAGAAAACATATATCTGTGTGGAAATACATGAGTCTAGGGTAGAAACATGCTAAGAGCTGGTGGGTGAAGGAAAAAGGAGAGCAACAGAAGTGCTGATGGTTGGAGAGTACAGAACAGACTGCTCAGCTCAATGGAAGATATAGATGATGCATCCTTGTCACAACACGATATACATACAGAAGCAAGAAAGTATGGTGATGGGAGTGTCAACCATCCAGACATCAGCTAGAAGTCTCATTTGGTTAGAAGTAGGGCACCAGACAGGTTCTTGACTTACTTTGGTAACAATTTTATCTCCCAGATGGTAGAGGAAGCAATTAGGGGAACTTCAACTCTGGACCTAATTCTGACCAAGAAGAAAAAAATAGTTGGTGAAATGAAAATTGATAGGAACATTCAGAAAGAGTTACTATGTCATTTTGGAGTTTGGGATAATCAAAGAGGGGAAAGTGGACTTCAAAAAATTCAAAGAAAAGAGGCATGATTCAATGGCATGAGATTCAGAAGAAAAAGTGGTTTAAGAGGGTTGGGCAGCTTCACAATGTGTAATTGTAACTGCAGTCACAAATGAGCTCTAAGGAAGAAAAGAGAGGTGACCTTTAAGGAGCCAGTATGGCTGCCCAGAGATCTCTCACAAGGCTAGATTTTTAAAGTACATGTAGAAAAGATGGAAAGAAGGGCATGTAATGAAGGACCGTAAGAGGGTGGAATGAACTTATAAAGAGTAATGTCAGGAGAGCTGAAGTTCTTGATTAGCTGAACTTGCAAAACAAAATAAAACATAATGCTAAAGACAATCATCTAGTCCCTGTTGATAAATTGCGTTTAAGACCCTAGCTCCATCCCCCTTTCTCCAAAACCACCACAAAAACAAATAAGCAAAAAAAGACAACACAAGAATGACATCAAAATGAGGAAGGTTTATAGTTAATAGCAGTGAGTAATAAAGACAAAGCAAAACTCTCTAACTCCTGTTTTGTTCCTGCTTCTCCAACAAGGAGAAGGATCGTCAGAGTGAATGGGGGAGAAGAAATTAAACTCTAAAGTGGGTAGAAAGATGTAAGATAGCAATTGACTAATCTACTCTAAATGAATTAGTAAACTGGGATGGGAAAATTAGATCCCAGAAAACCAACAGACCTTCTAGGCAGGTCACAGAATTGCTCTGTGGACAGTTGAGGAATCCTGAAGAGTGGAGAGGTACCAAAAGATGAGACGACAAATGTAGCATAAATATTCAAGATGGGAAGAAGGCAGAACTTCCCAAACTACTGAGCAGTGATTTGGAAAGATATTCTATGGATTATTGAAGGGAAGCACTTTAAAAAGAAAGTAGTGACCACTAGAAGCCAGCTTAAACTCACTAAGAATAAATAAATCAGGCTGCGTTAGCTTAAATGACTCTTAATAGATTTACTATACACTAAAGATCCATAGCTAACAACCAACATTCTCAAGATCAAAATGGAGAAATACGGGCTGAATTACACTGTAACTGGGTGGCTGGGTGGCTGAACAATATCAAAGGAGGGTGATTCAAAGACATGAACCTGGAGGGTGGCTTCTATATGTCATGTCACAGGGTTTTATCTCTGGCCCTGATGTCATTTATCAGAAACACGGATGACACACAGAAGACAGGCATGTCAAATTTTAGATGACAAGAAACTGGAAAATAAATATGTTGCATGATAGAATCAGAAACCAAATAGATCAACAGGATACAATGACAGGATTTCCAACCCTCAAGTGAATCTTTTCTTTTTTCTCATAAAATAGTTTAACAACGACCACTTGGCAAGGATTGTGTGGAGGTGATTCAAGCACCAGATGGGTGGTTGAGCTAAATGATCTTTAAGGCCCCTGCCAACCCTGAGTTTCTATGACTCGGACTTTAAGAATCTTTCTCACTTTCAGAGATCTCCAGAAGAGATTTCCTAGCCTTCCTTGGGAACCCACAGAAAGTTCAACAATAGTAAAGACAGCATTTTCTCTTATCTTGGTCTTGATTTTGAAATATTTTTAAAATGTTAGGGTTTCTTTTCTTTTTTACCTCATGTCTTTATTATGTTTCTCCCACTAACAGAGGTTCTATGTAGAAAATGTGATGGCACAGATGAGCATTCTACATCTGGAAAAATCTCTCTGTCAAAATGTTTTAGATACGTAAGGAGCTGTATTTATTTTATGTCCTCACAATATCCCAGGGATAGCCCTTGAAGGATTTAATGAGGGTCATAGCAAAGCCATTGAATTGCTCTCTAAAATGACTAAAACCACCTCCACATGGCTGTCCTTCATAAAAACAATAATAATAATAAAGTAATACTCCCCAAAATAATCCTCAAGTTCAAGTGCATAGTTTACTGTAAGTATCCCATCAATGGCAACTGAATACATTCAGCAAAGGATGAGATTTCCTTTTTAAAAGCAAGATTTCCCCCACTTACTCATTTATCTCCAAGGCTTCATGAGCTGCAGAAATCCTAGCCTGGGGGTTTCTCTCTCGCCAGGCTTTCTGCATTACTAAATTTTAGAAAAAGAGAAAAAAGCACGTCAATCATCACACATCAGCACCTAATAACAACATCATCAGGAAGACTCAATGGCAGGACAATAGCTAAATTAATAGCTTTCAGCTTGATTTACAAGAGAATATTTCACTTATGAAGAGAGTCAGCCTCAACTGCCAAAGACACATAAATATATTCTAATTTGTTATTCCACTGTTCTTCAATTGCTGATATTAAACTTTCTGTGCTCATAAAACTACAGATTTAAGTCAAAGACTAAAAAACCAAGGAAAGCAAAACTACTGTAACAGAGCTTTTATATTTCTTTTGCTGATTAATGTGCTAGTTAACCTATATGTTCTTGTTAGGCACCGCCCAGTTGATTTTCGACTCATAGCAACCCCATGTGACACAGCAGAACTGCCCCAGACATTTTCTAGGCTGTAATTTTTTATGGCAGCAGATTGCCAGGTCTTTCTCTCTCAGAGCCACTGTGTAGGTTTGAACTGCCAACCTTTCAGTTAGTAGCCAAGCGCTTAACCATTGTACCACCAGGGCTTCTTGTGAACCTATATTTAGCCATATAAATCACTAAAATATATTCAATAATCATTTGGATTCACTGAATCCTGATTTCTAACTACAATATTATCACTGAGACAAGACTCTTCTTTCTCAACCAAGAATTTAATTAGCCTCATATAACATATATATCTTTAATATGTAAATTCAAATTAGGTTTTTTTTTTTAATTCCATTTAAAAATTATAATGAGGGAATTCATTACTACACTGATATTTCACTGTGATAAAGCCTTTATTTAAGTATTCGAATTCTGGCCACTACTAGTCAATCTCCAACTTAATATTTTATTCATTGAGCTTTTTATAGAACAAACCAAAACAAAAAACCAAAACCATTGCCATTGCATTGATTCCCACTCTTAGCAACCCTGTAGGACAGAGTGGAACTGCTCCATACGGTTTGCAAGGAGCCGTTGGTGGATTCGAACTGCCGACCTTTTGGTTAGCAGCCGAGCTCTTAACTACTATGTCAGTCAATTTCCAATTTAATATTTTATTCATTGAGGTTTTTATAGGATAGGTAGTCTAAAAGTGGAAACTTTGCTACTTAACCCAACAAACAAACAAAACCCTCCCACTCAGCTGCTATCTGAAGTTTCCATACTTGCATCTGCAGGACGCAGATGGTCGGAGTCACAAGTAAAGAATGTCTGGTGGTCCTGGGCAGAGAGATTCATGTCATAGTAAGTCAGAGGCTCTCGTCCTGTCACCCAAGTGTACCTAGGGAGGGGAAATAAAACAGTTAAACACTTTTGAGAGAAGAAAAGAAGACTAACAAAATATTAACCTGCATAGGAATTGAAATATAAATCATTAACTATGTACTTACAACAGCACTACAGAATGCAAAACATGGTTTGTTTTTTTAAAAAAAAAAATCACCCTACTTTCCCTTCAGGAAGTATCTCAGCAGGAAAAAAGTAGACATTTCCCCCTATATTTCTATCTTAAAAACTTACTAGCACTAGATAATGAAAACCTTCTGTAATTATTATTATAAATAGATATTTCTCAAAAGCTATGAAAATTCTGATTTGCCTAATTATTTTGCTAAATTAATTCCAACATAACTTCTGTGACATTTTTATAACAATGTTCCAAGCAAGCTTCAAAATGTTTTGATTTTTTGAAAAGAGTAACTGTAATAGAAAAATTCTAAAAATGTGCATGTTTATTCATTATCCCAATGCCAATAATAATATATATATAAAACAGAAATATCAAAACATTTGAGGATAGTATCAAAAAACAGAAGAATTAAACAAACTGTTGCAATGGCCTCTAAACGAACCAGCAAAAACATGTGCTGCTGTCTTTGCTCTCTGAACCAGATCTATTTGTTTTCCGAGCTGTCAAAATACTTACCGATTATATTCAGCGCCCCTAAACAAATTTAGCGGATTTCGCCATACTTTGCATTCTGCAACAGAGAAATATGAAAATGTTACACATAAGTTCAGAGACCCGACAAGTTAATTAATTCAGCAAAACACCCTTCCTGGCCATTTGATAAGATATTTTATTCTTCATCCCATGTGGAAGCTCTCTGGGTGGTTAGTCAGGAAGTGTGGCTTAGACACCAGGGCTTTTAAAAAGTTCCACCTAATCTCTCTGGGCCTGAGTTTCCTCATTTGTTAAATCAAGGTACATGCCAAAATCAGCTAGTTCACCACTTCTATGGTCATTTCAGGACATCTGAACAGATTCTATGAGTTTACTTCTAAACTAATAGGCAGAAGGTAAAGGCATAGGTAGAAGTGAAATGACTTTGTTTTTATATATATCCAGGAGTGGAAATGCTGAGTCATATCGTAATTGTATGTCTAATATTTTGAGGAAATGACAAATTGTTTTCCCCAGCAGCAGCAGCATTTGACATTCCTACCAGCAATGGATTAGGGCTCCAATTTCTTCACGTTAGCCAGCATTTGCTCTTTTCTGTTTTTCTGATAAGCCATCCTAGTGGGTGCGAAGTGGTAACTCATTGCAGTTTTGAGTTACGTTTCCCTAATGACTATTATTCCCCCACGTGTCTGTCAGTTTGTTGTACTGTGGGGGCTTTCGTGTTGCTGTGATGCTAAAAGCTATGCCACCAGTATTTAGATACCAGCACGGTCACCCATGGTGGACAGGTTTCAGCTGAGCTTCCACACTAAGACTAGGAAGAAGGACCCGGCAGTCTACTTCTGAAAAAAATTAGCCAGTGAAACCTTATGAATAGCCACAGAGCACTGTCTGATATAGTGCCAGAAGATGAGCCCCCCAGGTTGGAAGGTACTCAAAAGACAACTGGGGAAGAGCTGCCTCCTCAAAGTAGAGTCGACCTTAATGATGTGGATGGAGTCAAGCTTTCGGGACCTTCATTTGCTGATGTGGCACGATTCAAAATGAGAAGAAACAGATGCAAACATCCATTAATAACTGGAACCTGGAATGTACGAAGTATGAATCCAGGAAAA